AAACGAAAAACAAACACGCACAAAACACATCGGGGGCCACCGGGTTAAATAGGGAAGGAGTAATCACATAATGGGAAACAGGTGTGTAACAATCAGACAACAGGTAGAACATAGAAACATAGAACATAGATCGGCAGTAGCTAGTATTCCGGTGACGACGAACGCCGAAGCCTGCCCGAGCAAGGAGGAGGGGCAGCCTCTGCAGAATCCGTGACAGTAGGCTATGCTTGGAAGCCAGGAGATGCTAAATGTGTTTATGTTAATTACGGTAAATTACCGTGAGACCGGCAGTTATTTGCTTGACAATCACCAGCTGGCAAATCTTCTTGAGTCATTTGAAGTCGTTTAAACGACTTATTATCTTGTTTGAATTACTTAATTGTTATTTGTCTAATTAAGCCTAATTTGTTATACAGCTTGTCAGACCATGTAATTGTTGCAGCAGCCATTCATTCACTGATCCATCCATTGATATGAATATTCATTGACAGTTCTTTGACAGCCTAAAGCAGGGCTGCTTTTGAATGCCAGAGCATTTAAGTAGGCGAGTGTGGAGCGAGGAGCAGAGTGTAATTCGAGCAGATTTAAAAAATGGTGTCTGCCTTCTTTCCAGCTCCAATTTTGCTCTGGTACTGCTTAACAACAAGCTCTGGGCATGCTCTGCCTAGCATTTTTCTTTTAATTAGGCCTATTCAGTTGTCATTATTTAGCCTACGCCACCCACAGTAGCCTATATCTAGTTTATATTCTACCTTTTAACATTAGAATGTGTCGTTTCTATTTTGAAGGACTTCAAATGTATTAACGGGTGTTTTAAGTAGACAATACATAGGCTACTGTCAAATGTATTTTAGTTTTTCTTAATACCAATCAATTTAATTAAGATAAAATAGAATAAATAAATTGTAAATAATAAAGGCCAGTATAAGCTTTTTTTCATAATTTTACATTTACATTTTAGTCATTTAGCAGACGCTCTTATCCAGAGCGACTTACAGTTAGTGAGTGCATACATTTTTCATACTGGCCCCAGTGGGAATCGAACCCACAACCCTGGCGTTTTAATATTGAATAAATTAGCAAACATTTCTAAAATCCGGTTTTTGCTATGTTGTTATAAGGTATTGTGTGTAGATTGCTGAGGATTTATTTTTTATTCCATTTTAGAATACGGCTGTAATGTAACAAAATGTGGAAAAAGTCAAGGGGTCTGAATACTTTCCGAAGGCAATGTATATAAAAAATAATGTGGCACCCCTTCAAATTAGTGGATTTGGCTATTTCAGCCACACCCGTTGCTGACAGGTGTATAAAGTCGAGCACACCACCATGCAATCTCCATAGACAAACATTGGCAGTAGAATGGCCTTACTGAAGAGCTCAGTGACTTTCAACGTCATAGGATCGTCATAGGATGCCACCTTTCCAACAAGTCTGTTTGTCACATTTCTGCCCTGCTAGAGCTGCCCCGGTTAACTGTAAGTGCTGTTATTGTAAAGTGGAAACATCTAGGAGCAACAACGGCTCAGCCGCGAAATGGTAGGCCATAGAAGCGCACAGAATGGGACCGCCGAGTGCTGAAGCGTGTAGCGCGTAAAAATGGTTTGTCCTCGGTTAAAACACTCACTACCGAGTTCCAAACTGCCTCTGGAAGCAACATTAACACAATAACTGTTTGTCAGGAGCTTCATGAAATGGCTTTCCATGGCTGAGCAGCCACACACAAGCCTAAGATCACCATGCGCAATGCCAAGCTTAGACTAGAGTGGTGTAAAGCTCGCCGCAGTTGGACTCTGGAGCAGTGGAAACGCATTCTCTGGAGTGATGAATCATGCTTCACCATCTGGCAGTCCGACGGACGAATCAGGGTTTGAAAGAAACAATGTTTAGCAGGCACTAGTTGGCATCATGCCTGTCTTGAGCATTTGGCCATAGGTTTTCATCGAAATCGATGAGAAAAAGCGATAAGAATGACTGTAACGCTAAGACCAGCTTTTGGTTGATCTTAAATATCCCCACCAGCGCTTACTGAAATTGGCAGCTCGGCTCACGTTTTTAAGGACACACCTCAGATATTGCCACTCCTCCCACCTCAGCGCAAGCACCTTACCGATCATTGCACCTGTACACAGCCCATCTGAAATTAGCCCACCCAACTACCTCATCCCTATATTGTTATTTATTTTGCTCTTTTGCACCCCAGTATCTCTATTTGCACATAATCTCTTGCACATCTAGCATTCCAGTGTTAATACTATTGTAATTATTCTGCACTATAGCCTATTTATTGCCTTACCTCCATAACTTGCTACATTTGCACACACTGTATATATATTTTCTGTTGTATTTTTGACTTTATGTTTTTTTACCCCATATGTAACTCTGTGTTGTTTTTATTGCACTGCTTTGCTTTATCTTGGCCAGGTCGCAGTTGTAAATGAGAACCTGTTCTCAACTGGTTTACCTGGTTAAATAAAGGTGAAATAAAATAAATATAATAAAATAAAAAAAGCGAGCTCATAAAAGACAGGTAAATTACCAATCCTGGCGTTAGGGTTTGAAAAGCCAGAAGAGCTCTGGCTTTAACAGGTCGAAATTGCAAATGAGAATGCGTTTGACAATTGCGCTGGCAAGCCGAAAATAGAGCCCAGAGTGTAGAATGCAAATAATCAACAAGCTGGTTCAATCATTGATGAACCCCATGGAATCCAAAGAGGGAGATGCCTATGTAATTTTGCAACATTCTCACTTCTCCTCACATTATTACTGGCATCATTACTGCCTTTCTTAGAGAGAGAATACACAATGGAAAGGATTTATACAAACATATGTAGGACCTTAATTTGAGCCAGGTGCTACAGCAGGAAAATAATCCTGCAGCAACAGGAAATGTGAATTATTATGTGGATTAAAATTAATGGACATTTTTTGTAGGGATTGATACATTTTTCGTATGGGAAAGTTAAGTCTTACATTTCTAAGTGGAAATTACAAACTTCAGAAGCCTTTTAAACTTCAAAAACACTACAAGTTTTACATTTCCATTGCAGGAAAGTTCCCCTGCAACAAGATACAGTGGGGGAAAAAGTATTTAGTCAGCCACCAATTGTCCAAGTTCTCCCACTTAAAAAGATGAGAGAGGCCTGTAATTTTCATCATAGGTACACGTAAACTATGACAGACAAAATGAGATTTTTTTTCTCCAGAAAATGAATTTTTTATGAATTTATTTGCAAATTATGGTGGAAAATAAGTATTTGGTCAATAACAAAAGTTTCTCAATACTTTGTTATATACCCTTTGTTGGCAATGACACAGGTCAAACATTTTCTGTAAGTCTTCACAAGGTTTTCACACACTGTTGCTGGTATTTTGGCCCATTACTCCATGCAGATCTCCTCTAGAGCAGTGATGTTTTGAGGCTGTCGCTGGGCAACACGGACTTTCAACTCCCTCCAAAGATTTTCTATGGGGTTGAGATCTGGAGACTGGCTAGGCCACTCCAGGACCTTGAAATGCTTCTTACGAAGCCACTCCTTCGTTGCCCGGGCGGTGTGTTTGGGATCATTGTCATGCTGAAAGACCCAGCCACGTTTCATCTTCAATGCCCTTGCTGATGGAAGGAGGTTTTCACTCAAAATCTCACAATACATTGCCCCATTCATTCTTTCCTTTACACGGATCAATCGTCCTGGTCCCTTTGCAGAAAAACAGCCCCAAAGCATGATGTTTCCACCCCCATGCTTCACAGTAGGTATGGTGTTCTTTGGATGCAACTCAGCATTCTTTGTCCTCCTTCTTTGTCCTCCATTCTTTGTCCTCTTTGTTTACCAAAAAGTTATATTTTGGTTTCATCTGACCATATGACATTCTCCCAATCCTCTTCTGGATCATCCAAATGCACTCTAGCAAACCTTCAGACGGGCCTGGACATGTACTGGCTTAAGCAGGGGGACACGTCTGGCACTGCAGGATTTGAGTCCCTGGCGGCGTAGTGTGTTACTGATGGTAGGCTTTGTTGTTCTGGGATTTTTGCTCACCGTTCTTGTGATCATTTTGACCCCACGGGGTGAGATCTTGCGTGGAGCCCCAGATCGAGGGAGATTATCAGTGGTCTTGTATGTCTTCCATTTCTTAATTATTGCTCCCACAGTTGATTTCTTCAAACCAAGCTGCTTACCTATTGCAGATTCAGTCTTCCCAGCATGGTGCAGGTCTACAATTTTGTTTCTGGTGTCCTTTGACAGCTCTTTGGTCTTGGCCATAGTGGAGTTTGGAGTGTGACTGTTTGAGGTTGTGGACAGGTGTCTTTTATACTAATAACAAGTTCAAACAGGTGCCATTAATACAGGTAACGAGTGGAGGACAGAGGAGCCTCTTAAAGAAGAAGTTACAGGTCTGTGAGAGCCAGAAATCTTGCTTGTTTGTAGGTGACCAAATACTTATTTTCCACCATAATTTGCAAATAAATTCATAAAAAATCCTACAATGTGATTTTCTGGATTTTTTTTCTCAATTTGTCTGTCATAGTTGACGTGTACCTTTGATGAAAATTACAGGCCTCTCTCATCTTTTTAAGTGGGAGAACTTGCACAATTGGTGGCTGACTAAATACTTTTTTCCCCCACTGTATACTAGCCTAAATCCAACTGTTTTGTTGACTCTTTGGAGGATCTCATCTTTAAAAAAATGTATTCACTAACTGTAAGTCGCTCTGGATAAGAGCGTCTGCTAAATGACTAAAATGTAAATGTAAAATGTAGTAATGGGAAGTGTCAGATGATTGTTGTGCTTGAGGCATTCAGCTGTCAGGTGAGGCAGAAGTGTCTGTTGGTTTACGAGTGCTTTACTTTTTTGAAAGAGCATGACCAGTCAAGAACCTCCACAGCGACAGTAGTGATAGATATCTCTGGCGTGTGTGTGTGTGTGTCTCTCTCTCTCTCCCTCTCTGACATGTGTGTCCTGTCTCATCACAACAGGATGACTTCACGTGGAACAGCATGTCAGGGCGGAGCGTGCGCCTGAAGCCGGTGCCCCTCCAGAGCCTCTCAGAGTTGGAGAGAGTTCGCCTGCAGGAAGTGGCCTTAAGCAGGCTGCTCCAGGACTACGACCTGAGCTGCCAGATCACCATCCCCAAAGGTACTCTACTACTTAGACCTGGAGGCCATAAACCAGTCAGCCACTATCTCCTGATCCCTCCCTTCAGACTCCCATTCGATGAGCAAAGCTATTTGTTCCCAGGCCCTTGGCGAGAAGTTCTTGTTACAACATGTCTAAATATTACTCAACAGACACTAACACCAAAACAGAATGTAATGTATAATTTCTAGTTCATCCTGCGTGTTTAGTGTTGGTATAAGACATCAATTTGTAAAACCATTTTTTACCCAATTTATTCTAACCGTGTATTCAATGACTTTTTGTATAGAAGACAGTCATTTGAAAGTACTGTATATAGCTAGAGGTATATATTTTTCAATTGTCTTGCCGTGGTGTGAGGTTGTCTGTCTTCACCTCCTGGTCTGTTTCTTGTCAGCCAGGCTCTCACACGGAATAGGGTTGCAAAGGGAGGGTAGATTACTGGAAAATTTCGAATACCAGTAATCTACCAGAATTTTGGTATCTTTCAAGGATTTTACAGATATACGATCTCATTTTGATCACTCTTTTGTTGCTGAGAATTTTCCTGCACAGCAGGAAATGCAAACCTGTAGTGTATTCAGTTTAAACTGGTGTTCGTGAGAGTCTCAGCTTTCCACAGAGGGGTCATATTAGTGTGTAGGCCAAACCGTTCGGACTCTACAAACGTTTTCTGAGAAGACCGATTTTCGGGATGTCTCATGGTCTGACAAACACTGTTCTAGCTCTGCCACCTTTCACCGCAGATGCGAAAGGGCGATATCAACGGATGTGGTGGATTGAGACGCAGCCCATGCAAAGAACCAGATAACTCTAGTTTAAACAGACAGATTTTGAAGCGGATTTTTGTATTATGTTAATTACATTTCCACGGTGGCACGTAAATATTAGGTCAAGGGTTAAAAAGGCTTCTAAAGTTTGTCATTTCCACTTTAAAATGTCAGACTTGATTAGCCCTAATGAAAAATATATCAACCCTACAAAAAATGTCCATTACTTATAATTTGATTTGATTTATTAGGATCCTATTAGACGTGCCAATGGTGACAGCTAGTCTTACTAGGGTCTGACACATAACGAAAAAGACATTACAGACTAAATACTTTACAATTTACATATATTTAAAAACGTTAACATGTAGTGTGTGTGTGTGTGCATCTATCAGTTACATATACATGTCAGTACATACACACAATGAGTAGGTCACATAGTGGAGAGGCGTTGTGCCCTGAGGTGTTGCTGCAGGATTATCTTCCTTCTGTAGCAAACTGGCTCAAATTAAGATCCTACATCTGTATGTAATGTATCACAATACATCTAGTGGCTCATTTGGGTACTTGAGATGATCCCAGGTGTCTGTTATAGTCCTCTGTGTGGCCTTATCACATGTGGCCTTATGAAATAATTGAATAAGATGATTATAAAATAAAATAAATAGAATGAACAATTTAAACCATCAACTTAGTGAATACCATTGGTGTTTAATAAAGGTTTCAGCATGAAATATAACAAAAAATATATTATTTGTTTTTACAAACTTAAATATATTTTACTATGTCAATATGTATTTGTTGTCAATGTTTTGGTGTCAAACTGATGGCAGTTGTGAAAAAATACAATAGTTGGAAGAGTTAATTGAAAATATTTGCATGGTTGAAAATATGCTTTTTTCATTAATTAGGCTATTTTCTCTTGAACCTATGGTCTATCTACTAGAAACTCATGGACAATTTGGACGCAGATATAATAAATGAATACTATATTTTTATTTTATTTTTACAGTTATTAAAGTATAAATTGCCAAAGTTATGATAGATTGCCATAGATTTTCTGTTAATTACCAAAATTACTGAATATTCTGGTAACTTTGATAAATTACCAGTAGCTTTGCAACCCTAGTCATGGATCACATTCCCTCATGTGCTCCTGGCTTAACTGTCTTAGGCTAACATGGGACTGACACCCTCTAGACATACACTGCCATCAACAGTCCCTCACAATAACTCCAGCATGAAACCTCTAGAAAAGACTAGCAAGAAAAATTAACTGTAGGAAAAACAGATTAAATGTCATCTGAAAAAGTAGCAGACTTTAAAATCACCCTGTCTACATATGGATTGAGTTAGGTAAGACAGGACAGTATATGCAGGCACGTTTTGTGTGGAAAGTCACATATGACCTCAATAGTGCTATTGAAAGAAGACTATAAATTCACATTCCACATTTTAAATATAACATGATTTATGCTTGGGTTGTCTGTTTAAGGAGATTTTGAGGCCTCTTTCAGATTGTGATGAGAACATTGGTATATGGAAATGCAATATTGAGTCATGAAGTGACATGTTACAAGTATGGTGATATCTGGTAGAATGTTAAGAAGTCTTGTGTAACATCTGTGTTCTTTCTTTTCTTAGATGGTCAAAAGCATAAGAAGTCACTCAGGAGGAAGTTGGATTCATTGGCCAAAGAGAAGAGTAAAGAAAAAGGTGCTGTGGAACTTGGCTACATTAATTTATTTTTTACACTTTGCCATACCATACAATGACAGTACTGGGGGATTCGCAATGGCTCTTCATCACTAAACCATATTGAGATAAGAGTGTCTTACATGCAGTCAGTGATAATATTGATGTCAGTCTTTCCGACCCAGTGAAGATAAACATGTCTCCTTTTAGTTCAAGGCTGTGGGATAGACACTGAGTCCTGTAGACCTTTCCCACTGGGAAAAAACGCTTTGAATCATCATTGTTTCCATGTAATTTAAATATGGAAAACTGATTGGATTTGCAAAAAGTCATCGACGTAAAGGAATTGTATATCCAATGACAGAGTGACATTTTTTGTTGATTTCACATTGAATTCATGTTATGTAAATGTTATGTTCACGTTATGTGAATTCACAAATGTAAATTAAAGTAGACATTGAACTGACGTCTGTGCCTTGTTGTTGTCCAGCTGGGCTCTGTTTTCTCACACATTGGCCTGGCCAGCCGTTGACAGTGGAAAACGGACTCTTTGATCCATTTCACTGGAGCTCACTGGAGCAGGCATTCTCAGCTGTTTCTACCTGCCGAGCTCTCAGGGAAAATATACAGTAGAAGCCTCCTCCTGAAAGGGCTGGGGCTGCTTCAACAACTGCACTGCCGACTGCTGCCCTGCCCCGCCCCCTACAATAATGTTCATTTACAGGAATGTGAGATCTCTCTGTCGGCTAGGCGGTCAAGGAAATAACAAAAACAATCTTGAGAGGTGGCTCAGTCATCACAGCCTATCCTCGGGCATTGCCAACCCTGTCCCACCCCCACTCTCTTTTCCTTTTCTCTCCCTGTGTTTAAAGAGACAAATCCCCAAATATGCGTCCCCTGACAGGATAGTGTATACATAGTGGGGATATTGTTTAGGTTAAACACTATATTTCCCTAAGAACCTATAGAGTTGTTATTATACGAGTTTTCAAGTAGAGTGCCTATGGGATATTTAAAGGAGGCAAAAAAGGAGGCATGGTTTATAGCCGTGCAGGCTTTACGGCAAGTACAATTACGGTAGATGCTACTTTGTTTTCCCCTTCCAATTGGCTCATTCATCCCTCCTCTTCTCCTCTGTAACTATTCCCCAGGTCGTTGCTGTAAATGAGAATGTGTTCTCAGTCAACTTACCTGGTAAAATAAGGGTAAAATAAAATAAAATACTTTGAAGCAAGTGTATGGATTTTTCATAGAATTTAAGCTAATGATGAAGATTAACTTTCCTTTTTCTTTCCCTCCCCCGCACCACAGAGTCTATGCCCCAGGCCTTCGGCATACCGCTGTCGCAGGTGATCTCTAACGACCATGCCCAGAAACAGCGTCAGGAGCTCCAGACCCAGCGCGAGGAGCACCTTGATGCCAGTGACCTGGTGTCCTCCCTGCTGCACCTCACCTCCCGGAGGAGCACTAAGGACAAGGAGATGTCAAGCAGCAACTCCTCCCTCAGCTCCACCTCCGAGACGCCCAATGAGTCCCCTTCGCCCAACACGCCCGAGGCAGCACCACGCACATGCAGAAGGGTAGGTTTTACATGTGGGGGGCTGTTCTCACAAACCAACATCAGGAGCCTGAATGTATTCTGTTGTATACACACCCAGATATGCAGGGTCGGCCCTAGCCTTTTGGAGGCCCTAAGAAAGATTTGGTTGAGGTGCCCCCCTACCTCGCAAAACATTTTAGTGGCCCACTGTTGACGAAGGACAGAAATATTAGTAGGTTTTAAAGTAAATTTTCTGCAATTAGTACAAGTTTAGATAGCTGGCTAGCAGGGTTGGGCTCAATTCAGAATTTTGGAATTCAGTCCCATTCAACCCATGAGTTGAAATACGAATTGAATTGGCCACACCCCACATGATGTAGAATTTGAATTTTTGTTTGATTAACAGGAAGTACATTTTAATGCAGTGCAATTCAAAGAAATTCCACTCAGTCATAGAACATGAGAGTTTCCTTGAACGTGACAGGTCACACTTCCAGATAACAAAGAATATATCACTTTTCTCTGGAAACAATGTTCATACACTATTTTAACCTTAGTGCTTGGAATAGCCAATTATATTTCCACCAACCATTTAATTTGTTTGGCTTCTTTTTGAAGTCCTCAGGGTCAACTTCAGGGTTAAACTAATGCATTCTGGGAAATGTTGTGTTTTCCCCATATTGAACTACATTTAAGTGATTCATTAAATATAATAACCATAACTTGTAATATAATAACTTTTTATTTCATGATAAAAAATTGTTTCAACAATATTTGATATGCATGTATTTAACGACATGTTTGATGTTTTATTTACAAAACATTAGGAACACCTTCCTAATAGTGAGTTGAACCCGCTTTTGCCCTCAGAACAGTCTCAATTCGTTGTGGCATGGACTACAAGGTGTCGATAGCATTCAATAGGGATGCTGGCCCATGTTGACTCCAATGCTTTCCACAGTTGTGTGAAGTTGGCTGGATGTATTTGGGTGGTGGACCGTTCTTTATACACACGGGAAACTGTTGAGAGTGAAGAACCCAGCAGCGTTACAGTTCTTGACACACTCAAACCGGTGCGCCTGGCACCTTCTACCATACCACGTTCAAAGGCACATAAATATTTCGTTTTGCATTCACCCTCTGAATGGCACACATACACAATCCATGTCTCAATTGTCTCAAGGCTTAAAAATCCTTCTTTAACCTGTCTCCTCCCCTTCATCTACACTGATTGAAGTGGATTCAACAGGTGACATCAATAAGGGATCATAGCTTTAACCTGGATTCACCTGGTCAGTCTATGTCGTGGAAAGAGCAGGTGTTCCTAATGTTTTGTACACTGAATCTATATTTGGATATACTGCACCTAATATAGAATAGAACAGGCATTTGAATTTAGTTGAATTTCACTGAATTCAATTCTATTTACAGTGAGGGAAAAAAGTATTTGATCCCGTGCTGATTTTGTACGTTTGCCCACTGACAAAGACATGATCAGTCTATAATTTTAATGGTAGGTTTATTTGATCAGTGAGAGACAGAATAGCAACAAAAAAATCCAGAAAAACGCATGTCAAAAATGTTATCAATTGATTTGCATTTTAATGAGGGAAATAAGTATTTGACCCCTCTGCAAAACATGACTTAGTACTTGGTGGCAAAACCCTTGTTGGCAATCACAGAGGTCAGATGTTTCTTGTAGTTGGACACCAGGTTTCGAGGCTGACGTTTGGCAACTCGAACCTTCAGCTCCCTCCACAGATTTTGTATGGGATTAAGGTCTGGAGACTTGCTAGGCCACTCCAGGACCTTAATGTGCTTCTTCTTGAGCCACTACTTTGTTGCCTTGGCCGTGAGTTTTGGGTCATTGTCATGCTGGAATACCCATCCACGACCCATTTTCAATGCCCTGGCTGAGGGAAGGAGGTTCTCACCCAAGATTTGATGGTACATGGCCCCGTCCATCGTCCCTTTGATGCAGTGAAGTTGTCCTGTGCCCTTAGCAGAAAAACACCATGTTTGACGGTGGGGATGGTGTTCTTGGGGTCATAGGCAGCATTCCTCCTCCTCCAAACACGCCGAACTTGAGTTGATGCCAAAGAGCTCGATTTTGGTCTCATCTGACCACAACACTTTCACCCAGTTCTCCTCTGAATCATTCAGATGTTCATTGGCAAACTTCAGACGGGCCTGTATATGTGCTTTCTTGAGCAGGGAGACCTTGCGGGCGCTGCAGGATTTCAGTCCTTCACGGCGTAGTGTGTTACCAATTGTTTTCTTGGTGACTATGGTCCCAGCTGCCTTGAGATCATTGACAAGATCCTCTCGTGGTGTTCTGGGCTGATTCCTCACCTCTATCATGATCATTGCAACTCCACGAGGTGAGATCTTACATGGAGCCCCAGGCCGAGGGAGATTGACAGTTATTTTGTGTTTCATCCATTTGCGAATAATCGCACCAACTGTTGTCACCTTCTCACCAAGCTGCTTGGCGATGGTCTTGTAGCCCATTCCAGCCTTGTGTAGGTCTACAATCTTGTCCCTGACATCCTTGGAGAGCTCTTTGGTCTTGGCCATGGTGGAGAGTTTGGAATCTGATTGATTGATTGCTTCTGTGGACAGGTGTCTTTTATACAGGTAACAAGCTGAGATTAGGAGCACTCCCTTTAAGAGTGTGATCCTAATCTCAGCTCGTTACCTGCAGAAAAGACACCTGGGAGCCAGACATCTTTCTGATTGAGAGGGGGTCAAATATTTATTTCCCTCATTAAAATGCAAATCAATTTATAACATTTTTGACATGCGTTTTTCTAGATTTTGTTGTTGTTATTCTGTCTCTAACTGTTCAAATAAACCTACCATTAAAATTATAGACTGATCATTTCTTTGTCAGTGGGCGAATGTACAAAATCAGCAGGGGATCAAATACTTTTTTCCCACACTGTACTTTAATAACATTTTAATTGCAATTTTGTATCCTGTTCACTACTTCAATTCAAATTCAATTCAAATTCAAGAATTTGATTGGAATTTATGAGGCATTCTCAATTCAATTGCTTACAACCTGAGGGGCAAAGGTAGCAATACTGTTGGCCATGATCCCACTTCACTCCACTATATGTGTCACGATCATTGACTGAAGACACGGACCAAGGCGCAGCGTGATAAGCGTACATACTTTTATTTAACGTACTTAACGACAAAAACAACAAACAAACGATACGTGAAGTCCTGAGGTTATAACACAACAAACCTTTACGGATCAAGATCCCACAAAGACTAGTGCAAAACAGGCTGCCTAAGCATGGTCCCAAATCAGAGACAACGAGCTACAGCTGCCTCTGATTGGGAACCACCCTGGCCAACATAGATCAAACGATCTAGAACAAAAACATAGAAAAACTAAACATAGCAAATCCACACCTTGGCTCAACATTTAAGAGTCCCCAGAGCCAGGGTGTGACAGTACCCCCCCCCCCCCCCCCCAAAGGCGCGGACTGCGACCGCGCCACACAAACACAAGAGGGTAGGGGCTGGGTGGGCATTCCGCCTCGGATCCGGCTCCGGGCGTGACCACCACTCTCTCTCCACCCCCCCGTTGCGCCCCTGATCTAGTCTGGCCCCGCTGGCCGGAGCTGGACTGGACACCGGTGGAGCAGATTGCTCTGGCTCCGGAGTGGATCCGCTGACTGGAGTTGGACCGGACCCCGGTGGAGCGGATTGCTCTGGCTCCGGAGTGGGGCAGCTGACCGGTGCCGGACCAGGCACCGGTGGAACAGGCACGGGCCGTGCCGGACTGGACACACGCACCACTGGCTTGGTGCGGGGAGCAGGAACGGGCCGGACCGGGCTGACGACGCGCACCACTGGCTTGGTGCGGGGAGCAGGAACGGGCCGGACCGGGCTGACGACGCGCACCACTGGCTTGGTGCGAGGGACAGGAACAGGCCGGACCGGGCTGGCGACGCGCACCACTGGCTTGGTGCGGGGAGCAGGAACAGGCCGGACCGGGCTGATGACGCGCACCACTGGCTTGGTGCGGGGAGCAGGAAGAGGCCGGACCGGGCTGGTGACGCGCACCACTGGCTTGGTGCGAGGGACAGGCACAGGCTGGACCGGGCTGGCGAAGCGCACCACAGGCTTGGTGCGAGGGACAGGAACAGGCCGAACCGGGCTGGCGACGCGCACCACTGGCTTGGTGCGAGGGACAGGAACAGGCCGGACCGGGCTGGCGACGCGCACCACTGGCTTGGTGCGAGGGACAGGAACAGGCCGAACCGGGCTGGCGACACGCACCACTGGCTTGGTGCGAGGGGCAGGCACAGGCCGGACCGGGCTGGCGACGCGCACCACTGGCTTGGTGCGAGGGACAGGAACAGGCCGGACCGGGCTGGCGACGCGCACCACTGGCTTGGTGCGGGGAGCAGGAACAGGCCGGGCTGGACTGGGAACACGGACCATTGGCTTGGTGCGGGGAGCCGGAACGGGCCGGGCCGGACTGGCGACGCGCACCACAGGCTTGGTGCGAGGGACAGGCACAGGCCGGACCGGGCTGGCGACGCGCACCACAGGCTTGGTGCGAGGGACAGGAACAGGCCGGACCGGGCTGGCGACGCGCACCACTGGCTTGGTGCGAGGGACAGGAACAGGCCGGACCGGGCTGGCGACGCGCACCACTGGCTTGTTGCGAGGGACAGGAACAGGCCGAACCGGGCTGGCGACACGCACCACTGGCTTGGTGCGAGGGGAAGGCACAGGCCGGACCGGGCTGGCGACGCGCACCACTGGCTTGGTGCGAGGGACAGGAACAGGCCGGACCGGGCTGGCGACGCGCACCACTGGCTTGGTGCGAGGGACAGGAACAGGCCGAACCGGGCTGGCGACACGCACCACTGGCTTGGTGCGAGGGGCAGGCACAGGCCGGACCGGGCTGGCGATGCGCACCACTGGCTTGGTGCGAGGGACAGGAACAGGCCGGACCGGGCTGGCGACGCGCACCACTGGCTTGGTGCGAGGGACAGGAACAGGCCGGACCGGGCTGGCGACGCGCACCACTGGCTTGGTGCGGGGAGCAGGAACAGGCCGGGCTGGACTGGGAACACGGACCATTGGCTTGGTGCGGGGAGCCGGAACGGGCCGGGCCGGACTGGCGACGCGCACCACAGGCTTGGTGCGAGGGAACAGGAAACAGGCAGGACAGGGCTGGCGACGCGCACACAGGCTTGGTCGCGAGGGACAGGAACATGTCCGGACGGGCTGGCGATGCGCACCCACTGGCTTGATGCGAGGGACAGGAACAGGCCGGGAACGGGCTGACGACGCGCACCACTGGCTTGGTGCGAGGGACAGGAACAGGCCGGACCGGGCTGGCGGACGCACACCACTGGCTTGGTGCGAGGGACAGGGGCTACAGGCCGGACCGGGCTGGCGACGCGCACCCACTGGCTTGGGGCGAGGGACAGGAACAGCCGGACCGGGCTGGCGACGCGCACCACTGGGCTTGGTGCGAGGGACAAGGAACAGGCGGACCGGGCTGGCGACGCGCACCACTGGCTAGGTGCGGGGAGCAGGAACAGGCCGGGCTGGACTGGGAACACGCACCATTGGCTTGGTGCGGGGAGCCGTAACGGGCCGGGCCGGACTGGAGGGGAGAGCTGACACAACCCGTCCTGGCTGAATGCCTATTTCCACACAATATGTGTGAGGCATCAGCACAGGACGTACAGGGCTGTGCACTCGTACTGGCGCTACAGCACGTGGCACTGGCGCAGGATATACGGGACCGAGGAGGGGTACTGGAGGCCACGAGCGTTGAGCCGGCACACCCCGTCCTGGCTGCATGCCCACCTTAGCACGAGACGTGCGTGGTGCTAGCACAGGACGTACAGGACTGTGCCGGAACACTCGCGGCACAGTACGTGGCTCCGCCAACCACCCTTTTAGCCCCCCCAAAAAAAAATATTGGGGCTGTCTCTCGGGCTTCCTCCCCGGCCGGTACCCTCTGCGTTGCCGCTGCTCCTCTCTGTAGCTCGCCTCCACAGTCTCCTCTCCTCCCTGGGCATTCACCTTTGCCCATGGCCCTTTCCCCGCGAATATCTCCTCCCAAGACCACCATTTGCCCACCTGCGACATCGCCTTCTTCTCCTCCTGGGCACGCTGCTTGGTTCTCTTATGGTGGGTTCTTCTGTCACGATCGTTGACTGAAGACACGGACCAAGGCGCAGCGTGTTAAGCGTACATACTTTTATTTAACGTACTTAACGTCAAAAACAACAAACAAACGATACGTGATGTCCTGAGGTTATAACACAACAAGCCTTTACGTATCAAGATCCCACAAAGACTAGTGCAAAACAGGCTGCCTAAGTATTGACCCCAATCAGAGACAACGAGCTACAGCTGCCTCTGATTGGGAACCACCCTGGCCAACATAGATCAAATGATCTAGAACAAAAACATAGAAAACTAAACATAGCAAATCCACACCCTGGCTCAACATTTAAGAGTCCCCAGAGCCAGGGCGTGACAATATGCTTTCTACTGTATATAAACCATTGTTCTACGCCATGCACTTGATGCTATGCTAGCCGCCGTGTGCTATCCATAACCTCTCCATATGGCTGTACTGTTCTCACTCCATGGGTTGTAACCAAAATTATTTTCCAATCGTTTCATTCTGAACAGAACCATACATTTCTTTGTTCCGTTCCACTGTACGGACCAGCAAAATAAAGTTCTGAACCGGTTCAAATCTGTTTTGCTTTTTTTATTTATTTAGCTTGACATGCATTGTCTGAATTAAGCCCACAGAATTATACCTACGGAGGAGCGGCTTCTCTGAAGGAACTTTGAATGTCGTTGAACTTCAGAGAGTTGGTTTAACTAATGTTGTACCAGAGCTAGCCCTTGATCATGACTCTTAGTTCCATTACATTACACATAATGCCACCTAGAGTTTTTTCGAGAGCTAGATCAGAGCTAGCTAATAAGCTAGCTAACTAACAAGCTTGTGTGTGCAGAGCAGCACCAGAATTAAAATAAAAACACATCTTACCTTTTGTAGTTAATAAATCCAATGTGAAACGTGATAACTATAGAATCCTTAGCTAGCTTTAAAAAAGTTAATAATTGTTCTCTAATTAAAAATCTCTCTCCCTAATTTCTGAATCAGGCCTGTAACATCAATAGCTACAGTAGACTATGCATGCTTCAGAGGGAGGGGGAGGGGCAGGTAGCCTACACACAGCATCTGTCATTTTGTCTTTGATTGACAAGATTTTCTGTTCTGTTCCCTCAACCGGTTCCAACCCCTGACTCACACAACCCGGTGTCTGTGTGTATCTGGCAGGGAGGAGTGTCTGTGGATTGCATCACTGACCTGGATGACAACCAGTCTCGTCTGCTGGAGGCCCTGCAGCTGTCCCTGCCAGCCGAGACGCCAAGCAACAAGAAGAAGCAGAGGGACAAGAATCTCAGCCTCAACCACATCTTTCGACAGGTGCCCAGGGTAGTGGAGAGCTGCTGCCTGCACCTAGAGAAACATGGTACACACACTGCTGTCATTCTTCAAAAATGCTTACATTTTTGAAGTCTTACGCATATTGTGCTCCAATTCAGAGTTGAGATAAGTGCAGGCAACTCAGACTTTCATGTACAGTGGGGAAAAAAAGTATTTAGTCAGCCACCAATTGTGCAAGTTCTCCCACTTAAAAAGATGAGAGAGGCCTGTAATGTTCATCATAGGTACACGTCAACTATGACAGACAAAATGAGAAAAAAAAAATCAAGAAAATCACATTGTAGGATTTTTAATGAATTTATTTGCTAATTATGGTGGAAAATAAGTATTTGGTCAATAACAAAAGTTTCTCAATACTTTGTTATATACCCTTTGTTGGCAATGACACAGGTCAAACGTTTTCTGTAAGTCTTCACAAGGTTTTCACACACTGTTGCTGGTATTTTGGCCCATTCCTCCATGAAGATCTCCTCTAGAGCAGTGATGTTTTGGGGCTGTCGCTGGGCAACACGGACTTTCAACTCCCTCCAAAGATTTTCTATGGGGTTGAGATCTGGAGACTGGCTAGGCCACTCCAGGACCTTGAAATGCTTCTTACGAAGCCACTCCTTCGTTGCCCGGGCGGTGTGTTTGGGATCATTGTCATGCTGAAAGACCCAGCCACGTTTCATCTTCAATGCCCTTGCTGATGGAAGGAGGTTTTCACTCAAAATCTCACGATACATGGCCCCATTCATTCTTTCCTTTACACGGATCAGTCGTCCTGGTCCCTTTGCAGAAAAACAGCCCCAAAGCATGATGTTTCCACCCCCATGCTTCACAGTAGGTATGGTGTTCTTTGGATGCAACTCAGCATTCTTTGTCCTCCAAACACGAAGAGGTGAGTTTTTACCAAAAAGTTATATTTTGGTTTCATCTGACCATATGACATTCTCCCAATCCTCTTCTGGATCATCCAAATGCACTCTAGCAAACTTCAGACGGGCCTGGACATGTACTGGCTTAAGCAGGGGGACACGTCTGGCACTACGTCCCTGGCGGCGTAGTGTGTTACTGATGGTAGGCTTTGTTACTTTGGTCCCAGCTCTCTGCAGGTCATTCACTAGGTCCCCCTGTGTGGTTCTGGGATTTTTGCTCACCGTTCTTGTGATCATTTTGACCCCACGGGGTGAGATCTTGCGTGGAGCCCCAGATCGAGGGAGATTATCAGTGATCTTGTATGTCTTCCATTTCCTAATAATTGCTCCCACAGTTGATTTCTTCAAACCAAGCTGCTTACCTATTGCAGATTCAGTCTTCCCAGCCTGGTGCAGGTCTACAATTTTGTTTCTGGTGTCCTTTGACAGCTCTTTGGTCTTGGCCATAGTGGAGTTTGGAGTGTGACTGTTTGAGGTTGTGGACAGGTGTCTTTTATACTGATAACAAGTGCAAACAGGTGCCATTAATACAGGTAACGAGTGGAGGACAGAGGAGCCTCTTAAAGAAGAAGTTACAGGTCTGTGAGAGCCAGAAATCTTGCTTGTTTGTAGGTGACCAAATACTTATTTTCCACCATAATTTGCAAATAAAATCATAAAAAAAATACAATGTGATTTTCTGGATTGTTTTTCTCAGTTTGTCTGTCATAGTTGACGTGTACCTATGATGAAAATACAGGCCTCTCTCATCTTTTTAAGTGGGAGAACTTGCACAATTGGTGGCTGACTAAATAATTTTTTTCCCCACTGTAAATCATTCACTGAAGTCAACGGACGATATGATTTGCAGAGGATTTAATCGTGACTGGATTTATCTACACGTTTTCCCTGTTGTTACAACAAATTTGTCCTCAATTTCTCCATTTAATTTAGGTCTACAGACAGTTGGCATTTTCCGTGTAGGGAGCTCAAAGAAGAGGGTACAGCAGGTAAGGTTTCACTGGAAAATGCTGAGGTGCGCATCAAACACACTATGAAATTCCTAGTATGTTTCTAGTGTTAAACTGTGGTGGATGTTGTGTTGTGTCGTGTTGTTGTCTTCAGCTGAGAGAGGAATGTGACCAGCGTGTGGAGGTCCAACTGGATGAGGAGCACAGTGTCCATGATGTGGCCGCGCTGCTCAAGGAGTTCCTGAGGGACATGCCTGATCCCCTACTAACCAGGGAGCTCTACACCGCCTTCATCAACACCATGTGTGAGGAACACACACAAACCCTTGCTATAAACCTCATACCAAAATAACACACAATCTCACCACCACATTTCACATAGCCTTCAACAACATAATGTGTGAACCTTGTATTTTATTTCTCTATGCACACTCACAGGAACCTACACACGCAAGCACACTGACACTCCAACACACATAACATGCACACACATTTAAACTGACTCGACACACACACACACACACCCTGTATATACACTACCGGTCAAAAGTTTTAGAACACGTACTCATTCAAGGGTTTTTCTTTATTTTGACTATTTTCTACATTGTAGAATAATAGTGAAGACATCAAAACTATGAAATAACACATATGGAATCATGTAGTAACCAAACAAGTGTTACACAAATCAAACTATATTTTATATTTGAGATTCTTCAAATAGCCACCCTTTGCCTTGATGACAGCTTTGCACACTCTTGGCATTCTCTCAACCAGCTTCATAAGGTAGTCACCTGGAATGTATATCAATTAACAGGTGTGCCTTGTTAAAAGTTAATTTGTGGAATGTATTTCCTTCTTAATGCGTTTCAGCCAATCAGTTGTGTTGTGACAAGGTAGGGGTGGTATACAGAAGATAGCCCTATTTGGTAAAAGACCAAGTCCATATTATGGCAAGAACAGCTCAAATAAGCAAAGAGAAACGACAGTCCATCATTACTTTAAGACATGAAGGTCAGTTTCTTCAAGTGCAGTCGCAAGAACCATGAAGCGCTATGATGAAACTGGCTCTCATGAGGACCACCACAGGAATGGAAGACCCAGAGTTACCTCTGCTGCAGAGGATAAGTTCATTAGAGTTACCAGCCTCAGAAATTGCAGCCAAAATAAATGCTTCACAGAGTTCAAGTAACAGACACATCTCAACATCAACTGTTCAGAGGAGACTGTGTGAATCAGGCCTTCATGGTCGAATTGCTGTAAAGAAACCACTACTAAAGGACACCAATAAGTAGAAGAGACTTGCTTGGGCCAAGAAACACGAGCAATGGACATTAGACCGGTGGAAATCTGTCCTTTGGTCTGGAGTCCAAATTGGAGATTTTTGTTCCAACCCCTGTGTCTTTGTGAGACACGGTGTGGGTGAACGGATGATCTCTGCATGTGTATTTCCCACCGTGAAACATGGAGGAGGAGGTGTTATGGTGTGGGGGTGCTTTGCTGGTGACACTGTCTGTGATTTATTTAGAATTCAAGGCATACTTAACCAGCATGGCTACCACAGCATTCTGCAGCGATACGCCATCCCATCTGGTTTGGGCTTAGTGGGACTATCATTTGTTTTTCAACAGGACAATGACCCAACACACCTCCAGGCTGTGTAAGGGCTATTTTACCAAGAAGGAGAGTGATGGAGTGCTGCATCAGATGACCTGGCCTCCACAATCCCCCGACCTCAACCAAATTGAGATGGTTTGGGATGAGTCGGGCCGCAGAGTGAAGGAAAAGCAGCCAACATTGGTCAGCATATGTGGGAACTCCTTCAAGACTGTTGGAAAAGCATTCCAGGTGAAGCTGGTTGAGAGAATGCGAAGAGTGTGCAAAGCTGTCATCAAGGCAAAGGGTGGCTATTTGAAGAATCTAAAATCTCAAATATATTTTGATTTGTTTAACACTTCTTTGGTTAATACATGATTCCATATGTGTTATTTAATAGTTTTGATGTCTTCACTATTATTCTACAATGTAGAAAATAGTCAAATTATAGAAAAACCCTTGAATGAGTAGGTGTTCTAAAACTTTTGACCGGTAGTTTAGCTTCTTACTTTCTCCTATTCTTCTTATTTCTTGTTTTTATTTCTTGTGTGTTTTTGTTCTACCTTATGTTATTTTTAGTGCTACATTGATTTTGATTACTACATTGTTGGGTTTGAAGCTTGGAAGAAAGGCATTTCACTGTGCTTGTGCACGTGACATTAAAACTTGAACAGCCCACACTGGCCCCATATCCCACATTCATGTACACTACATCCACTACAGTATATAACTCAAATGCTTTGCCACACTCTCAGCACAACACTTCTCATACCATTCATCAACTCCATGTGTGAAGGGTGTACAGGAACTCCTACACTACGGTAGTTTGTTATTAAGAAAGCGCATAATTCATACAGCTAATTCCTATACAATATCTATTGTAAAGTGAGTACAAATTGGTCTGTAGCTGTAAGGATTAGAGGGAGTTGTGATGATGTTTATTGTGTCCTCCTCTGCAGTACTGGACCATTCAGACCAGGAGAGCACCATGCAGCTGCTGATGTACCTGCTCCCACCCTGCAACAGTGACACCCTGCAACGCCTCCTGGAGTTCCTGGCCACGGTGGCCGCCCATGCCGAAGACAGCCAGGACAAGGACGGTCAGGAGGTAAGGGCAGGTACGGGCAGGACAGGATAGGACAGGAGGACAGAGCAGGACAGGGCAGGAACGGAGGACAGAACAGGGCAGGACAGGACAGGAACACTGGATGGAAGATCAGTAGTCTAATAAAATGGCTTAAGTTTACTGTCCTTTTCTCCCTTTGTCTGGGATCAACTTTCATGGATGAATGTTGTAGTAGTGCATCCAATGTTGGGTATTTGAGATCCATGACAAGGTCATACTCATCTATTGAAATACTGGCAGCATTTTACATTACAGAACGGAATACATGGTTAATAACATGCAGTAGTTGTACTTCTGCCATCCGAAACTAAAGAGTGTAGTACATGTTGAGGATCCATTGACATTCTCATTCTGATTGACAGACATGGCTTTATTTATATTGATAAGGGCGGGTTAAGTGCACATTCATTCCCACACTCCTATCGTTTTGTGAATATGTCTACACATTTGGGTGAGACAGGAGAAGCCTTCAAGTCAGTCATGTGCATGAATTGTGTTCCTTTGCTACCACAATCATCACTTATAAGACTGTGTTTATTCTTCATTGAACTTAAAGAAAGACTTAAAAGTCGTCTGAGGTTTTTATTCAGCGTCACCTTGAATAATCTTTCCAATCAACGTCCATCAGTGTAACTTTCAGCATAATCCAGAAATGTTTCCTGTAACTGCAAAAGGTCGGAGGAAAATTCCTTGTAATCACGCACCAAGGCCTGTGAGTTTTGAGGCTGTGGGGCTGTGGGGCTGTGGGGCTGTGGGGCTGTGGGGCTGCTGGTCAGACAGCCATAATTAAATAAATTCAGGCTTCTTCATCCTGTTATTACTGGGTATTTCGTGACGATGCATAACAGCTTTAATCCTGCCGAGCAGAAGGAGCTCAGGTATGCCAGCACAGTCAGGAGAGCTTCCCAGAAAGGTGTGTGTGTGTGTGTGCGGGTGTGCGCATCTTTGTGTGTTTTAGTGTCAAATTCAGCATTGTCCAACTGCTGTCTTTAGATCACAGGGAACAAGATGACATCGCTCAACCTGGCCACTGTCTTTGGGCCCAACCTTCTACACAAGCAGAAGAGTTCGGACAAGGAGTTTGCTGTCCAGAGTTTTGCCCGTGCCGAGGAGAGTACAGCCATCATAGGCGTGGTACAGAGGATGATCAGCACATACGAGACCCTCTTCATGGTAAGCTATGACTTATGGAAAACACTAGAACATGGCGCCAATGGACGGATATATAAGCTTTTATCACACTAGATAGAGGACAGAGTAAAAACTTGGCACAGCTGATAAACAATTGAACTCACTTACTCACTGCTCCCCTTTCCAAGAATAATAGTTTTTAGGGGAATTATCAAGCTTAATAGAGTGGCTCCATCTAATTAAATGTAAACATGACATTTATACATTTTCAAGAAGGACATGGATGTTTTTATTTATTAAAACATTATTTGATAAAATATTGAATTTTGCCTTTACTACCCATAGAAATGCATATAATAACACATACAGTACCAGTAAAAAGTTTGGGCACACCTACTCATTCCAGGGTTTTTCTTTATTTTGACTATCTTATACATTGTAGAATAATAGTGAAGACATCAAAACTATGAAATAATACATATGTAATCATGTAGTAACCAAAAAAGTGTTAAACAAATCAAAATATATTTGATGACAGCTTTGCACACTCTTGGCATTCTCTCAACCAGCTTCATGAGGTAGTCACCTGGAATGCATTTCAATTAACAGGTGTGCCTTTTTAAAAGTTAATTTGTGGAATTTCTTTACTTGTTAATGCATTTGAGCCAATCAGTTGTGTTGTGACAAGTTGGGGGTGGTAAAAGACCAAGTCCATATTATGTCAAGAACAGCTCAAATAAGCAAAGAGAAATTACAGTCCATCATTACTTTAAGACATGAAAATCAGTCAATATGGAAAATGTCAAGAACTTTGAAAGTTTCTTCAAGTCCATTCGCAAAAACCATCAAGCGCTGTGATGAAACTGGCTCTCATGAGGACCACCACAGGAAAGGAAGACCCAGAGTTACCTCTGCTGCAGAGAATAAGTTCATTAGAGTTACCAGCCTCAGAAACTGCAGTCCAAATAAATGCTTCATAGAGTTCAACTAACAGACACATCTCAACATCAACTGTTCAGAGGAGACTGTGTGAATCAGGCCTTCATGGTGAATTGCTGCAAAGAAACCAATACTAAAGGACACCAATAAGAAGAAGTAACTTGCTTGGGCCAAGAAACACGAGCAATGGACATTAGACCGGTGGAAATCTGTCCTTTGGTCTGATGAGTCCAAATTTTAGATTTTTGGTTCCAACAGCCGTGTCTTTGTGAGACGCAGAGTAGGTGAACGGATGATCTCCTTATGTGTAGTTCCCACCGTGAAACATGGAGGAGGAGGTGTGATGGTGTGGGGGTGCTTTTCTGGTTACACTGTCAGCAATTTATTTAGAATTCAAGGCACACTTAACCAGCATGGCTACCACAGCATTCTGCATCGATACGCCATCCCATCTGGTTTGCGCTTAGTGGGACTATCATTTGTTTTTCAACAGGACAATGACCCAACACACCTCCAGGCTGTGTAAGGGCTATTTGACCAAGAATGAGAGTGATGGAGTGCTGCATCAGATGACCTGGCCTCCACAATCACCCAACCTCAACCCAATTGAGATGGTTTGGGATGAGTTGGACCGCAGAGTGAAGGAAAAGCAGCCAACAAGTGCTCAGCATATGTGGGAACTCCTTCAAGACTGTTGGAAAAGCATTCCAGGTGAAGCTGGTTGAGAGAATGCCAAGAGTGTGCAAAGCTGTCATCAAGGCAAAGGGTGGCTACTTTGAAGAATCTATAATCTAAAATATATTTTAATTTGTTTAACACTTTTTTGGCTACTACATGATTCCATATGTGTTATTTCATATTTTTGATGTCTTCACTATTATTCTACAATGTAGAATAATAAATAAATTAGTCATTTAGCAGACGCTCTTATCCAGCGCGACTTACAGGAGCAATTAGGGTTAAGTGCCTTGCTCAAGGGCACATCGACAGATTTTTCACCTAGTCGGCTCAGGGATTAGAACCAGCGACCTTTCGGTTACTGGCACAACGCTCTTAACCACTCAGCTACTTGCCACCCTTAGAAAATTTTTTAAATAAAGAAAAACACTTGAATGAGTAGGTATGTCCAAACTTTTGACTGGTAGTGTACATAAATGGCAAAAAAAGTCCCCCCAAAAATCTTAAGGAATAAGGTTTTGACGTGTATATCTAGAAGATATAAGAAAGCTCAGGAAATGTTTTTGTTTATTGTCTCAAAACTACCTCCATACATCCATTCATTTGTATGGGTTACCTTAAGTCGGGTCCCATGACACTTGTGGGGGTTGTAGAGCAAAACATCATCATGTTCGTGAGAGTCTCATCATTCCATAGAGTGGTGTTATTAGTTTGTAGACCAAACCGTTCGGACGCTACAGACATTTTTGTGAGACGACCAATTTTAGGGATGTCTCATAGTCTGACAAACACCGTTGTAGCTCAGCCACCTTCCACCGCAGATGCGGAAGGCCGACATAGGTGGATGCGTTGGATTGAGACACAGCCCATGCAACAACTGATATCTCTAGTTTAAACTGACAGAATTTGATGGGGATTTTGTTATTATGTTTCTTAGATAGACTCATGGGGATAGACTCTTAAGGAATATTATTAAAGTCTCTTAGCAAAGGGCCTGAAAACTAATGTGAATTAGGTATTTCAGTTTTGTATTTTTTATAAATTTGCACACAAAATAAAAAAATAGAAATTCACTTCGTTATTATGGGATATTGTGTATTGTTTGATGAGTATTTTTATTTATTTTTATCAATTTTAGAATAAGGATGTAACATAACAAAATGTGGAAAAAGTCAAGGGGTCTGAATACTTTCCGAATGCACTGTACATTATTGTGTCAATATCTGGCTCAACAGTTTGCCTACATCTGAGCAGCTGATTATTTCTTGAGGGAGTTACATATCCAGTTTAAGCTAACACAGAATGAGATAAATGTACCAACTCAGTTCAGCTCAGATGTCCAGTTAAGGATTGTGTGTTTCTGGCCCTCCCAGGTGCCACCTGACCTGCAGAATGAGGTTCTAATTAGTCTGCTGGAGACAGATCCTGATGTGGTGGATTACCTGCTGCGGAGGAAGGCTTCTCAGTACTCGTGAGTGTTTGACCTTTTGTGTGCTTAGACATGGAAGTGCTGCTGCAGGGCTACCGGCAAACGTATGGCGAGCAGGCATTTTTCCCAGCACTTTTGATTTGGTTTAATAAAACATGTTAAAGAAAAGTGTTGAAAACAGAGACAAAGTAGACCTACAGTTTTTTAGACTGACTTGCCTTGCCTCTTCATCAACTCTCGCACTATGTCCTTCTCATCAGAGTGCTGTGTGTGTGTGTATGTGTGTGTGTGTGTGTGTTGACCAATCAGATTCAGGGAAATCGTGGGTCGGGAATGGCACATGTCTATAGAAAGCAGTGCAAAGTCATGAGCTCTGCTTGATGGCTACTGTGTAGTAACCTAGCGGTGCCAAAGGCCCCGGTCTGCCCTAGAAAGCCTATGTAAATTACTATCGGCATAAAAACATTTAGACGTTATGATCAAGTTCGATCCCCACGGTGAATTGTTTTAAAGTTCGCAACAAATTGAGATATTTAATTAAATAGTGATCCATTCTGACATTTGTCATCACACAGGACCACGTGCTGACACAGACCAATCACGGGCCGGCAGGCTACAAGGAGGTTCCCGGTTGACTCTCTTAGGCAGCAGGAAAAATACTACATCGACCATGATCCATTGCTAGTTATGACGAATTTCACCATGATCCTTGGTGCCATTCAGATCCATTCAGCAATATGGCGAGCTTCAAATACAAATACTTCCGGCTTCATGCGCCATCGGGAGTTATTCATAGGAATACGTGGATGATGTCAGCGCTATCACTATCTACTGGTTTTAATGTATATGGCCCTGTCCCATCTGGCCAGCAAAAACTAAGTGGTAACTTTATGTATTTATAGCCTAACTGATTTTTCGGCTTCCTCCCTGTTGTTGAATTAAGAGACCGACAAGTTACAGCATGTAAACAACTATTTTCCCATTTTATTTTTACACCTTATGTTCCATCCTTGTGTAGGCACATACATCTGTAATTAAAAAGTTACATTCTAGCCTACAATATGTCATCCCTATTTGTTGATTTGAATAGTTCTAGTCAATATTTTTGGATGAAAAAAGGCCTCGGTAGCCTAACCAACCGGAGTTTGAATATAAACCAAATTTGATCACGTTCACATTTTCTCTTAACAGAAATAAAAGGCCTGCTACATCGTTACGCGTTACTTTAGCCAAGCGTGAGACGCTCCGATTAATTTCCACGAAACCTGGGCTTCTGTTGCTCAAGCGTGAAATTACGCTCTGGTTCTATTTTCAAGACTTCGACACGCAGCTCACACGTATACACTAGAGAAGGCATCGCGTGGTGAAACAATGGCTTCCTATTCATTTTCAATGGAAGGAAAGCAGGTTAGAGCAGAGTGGAAGGGACCATTGGGCGATGCGAGCATGGGCAAGGGAGCTGAACAGGGTGGGACTAAAGTTGGGCAAAGCTTAACTTTATGCAAATCTTCAGCAATATCGTGGCGCGAGTAACCAATCGAAGCTCAACATACTGGAGCTTCCAACCCCTACTGGATTGGTTGACAAACATACTGTAGCTTCTAACCCCTACTGGCTTGGTTTACAATGGCTGGTGATACGTAGCACTACCTAGCATGCTTGCTAGCTTGTTAGCACCCACATGAGGGTGAAGCTAGCGTGGCTAGGCAAGTTACTGCTATATAGTGTATCTCGGCCGGAGTGATAGGATAAAGTGGCTTGCGCTCAGCTCGCCCAGACCAAAAGTTACACTTCCAGTGTAGCAGGTAAAAACATAAACTTATTTTGAGACAACCCATCTCGAATTATTTGCAGTTAGGTTGTTTTCAGTTTAGAAAATACCCTGCCTAATAGGACAACCACAGAGATACTTGTCCAACTGTCATAAATTGTCCGTATTTCACTTAAACAATGGGAATGGACCATAAAGATCAGTTTTAGGCTACATCTATTGGAATTCCTTACAGGTTTGTTGTTTTCAGTTTTTTTTAAACACCTGGGGCAACTTTAGAGCAGGCTAATTTCCCGACTGCTCAGTTCACTTGCCCCAGGCAATAGGGCAACCCTTAAAGGGGAATGGAAACACTTTAGGAAGTAAAGCTAAGCAAAGACATTTATTTCATCCACTAATACTAAACATGTGCATTTAACATAGAAACATCTCTATTTTTTTTTGTTTTATATTGAAAAGAGTTTATTAGAGGTATGTGTAGAGCCATCTTGAATTGCCCTATTAACGACTGACGCCAGTGTGTCATTGGCAGGCATGAGCAAATTGTGAGTTTTAGTGCGGGACTGAAAGTGAATGAATGCTGCCACCGAGAGGTGCCTCGCCTCCACTGGACCTGAAAGGTTTCTCACAACTTTGTAATTGAGATCAGGATAACAATATTAAGGTAAGAAACTGTATACAATTTGTTTTTATGTTGGTAATTATAATATGTCAATTTTAGTGTATGTTTTCCGATTGATGAGAGGAGTCTGTGAAATGAACTTCTGATAACAAGCCGAGTAGACAGTCAGCCAAAAACAAGTCAAGGTAGCTAGCTAGCTAGCCTACTTGATTTAGCTCATCTCTTGTCTTGTCTTTTTGATTTTAATGTTGTCTTTGATACAGTAACTGTACAAAATAAAATACTTAAAGAGCATTTGTCATTGGTATTAGCTAAAAGCTCAAGTGAACTGGCTAGTGTCAGATTCGATTTGTAGCTAAAACAACTAAGAGAGGGCTGCTGCAGGATTGCTATTTTACTAGTAAAATGTATGATACCCATATAATAATTAGCTAGCTAGCTAGATAACTAGCTACATAGCTAGATATCTCATTAGGTGTCTGTTTATATGTGATATGATTCCTAAAAATAGTAAGCAAGAATCAATGTAGCCTAACCCTTATGGTGATAGTTAGCTAATAGCTATGACTTTTGAAACCTCAGGCTGGTATACATCCTGGTCTAGCTGTTAACGTTTAATGATTGAACATGACCGAAAATATCTTCTGGACATCAGAACAGCGATCATTAACCTTGATTTGGACAAAAATGTCTACTTCAACAAGTCTGCAGCTCTGGACATTCTGCTTACTCCGGATCAGGCCCTAATCCCCTAGACTCGAAAGAAGAAGTGGCTGCGAAAGAGAGGCAGGCGAGCTGGCATCCTGAGGAGACTACATCAGCGAGCAAATAGACCGCCATTGCCCTCTGTTCTGTTGGTGAAGGTACAAGAACAAACTGGATTAGCTCCGTTTGAGACTATCCTATCAACGGGATCTGAAAAACTATAATATTATATGTTTTTCCGAGTCGTCACTGAATGAGAACATGGATATAAGTCTTGCTGGTTCTTCTATGCATCGTCAAGACCGGACGGCAGACTCGGTTAAGACGAAGGGGGGAGGGGTGTGTCTCTTTGTTAACAACAGCTGGTACGTGATCTCTAATGTTAATGAAGTCTCACGTTTTTGCTTACCTGAGTTAGACTAACGCATTATAAGATGCATAACATACTATTTACTAATAGAGTTTTTATCTATATTTTTCGTAGTTGTCTATATTTTTCGTATTTACCACCACAAACCGATGCTGGCACTAAGACCTTACTCAACCTGCTTACAAGCAAAAACTAAAACAGGAAGTACCAGTGACACGCTCAATACAGAAGTGGTCCCATGAAGCGGATGCTAAGCTACAGGACTGTTTCGCTAGCACAGACTGGAATATGTTCCGGGATTCATCAGATAACATTAAGGAGTTTACCACATCAGTCACCAGCTTCATTAATAAGTGCATCGACGATGTCGTCCCCACAGTGACCATACATACGTACCAGGGTTTCTGTTAGCCAGTAATAGGAGGCTTTTGGCCGTAAAAAAAATACAAAAGCCGATAAATGAAATTGTCACCGGCCAATTGTCCAATTGGACCCACTCGTATGAGTTTTTACCAAAAAGTTATATTTTGGTTTCATCTGACCATATGACATTCTCCCAATCCTCTTCTGGATCATCCAAATGCACTCTAGCAAACTTCAGACGGGCCTGGACATGTACTGGCTTAAGCAGGGGGACACGTCTGGCACTGCAGGATTTGAGTCCCTGGCGGCGTAGTGTGTTACTGATGGTAGGCTTTGTTACTTTGGTCCCAGCTCTCTGCAGGTCATTCACTAGGTCCCCCCGTGTGGTTCTGGGATTTTTGCTCACCGTTCTTGTGATCATTTTGACCCCACGGGGTGAGATCTTGCGTGGAGCCCCAGATCGAGGGAGATTATCAGTGGTCTTGTATGTCTTCCATTTCCTAATAATTGCTCCCACAGTTGATTTCTTCAAACCAAGCTGCTTACCTATTGCAGATTCAGTCTTCCCAGCCTGGTGCAGGTCTACAATTTTGTTTCTGGTGTCCTTTGACAGCTCTTTGGTCTTGGCCATAGTGGAGTTTGGAGTGTGACTGTTTGAGGTTGTGGACAGGTGTCTTTTACACTGATAACAAGTTCAAACAGGTGCCATTAATACAGGTAACGAGTGGAGGACAGAGGAGCCTCTTAAAGAAGAAGTTACAGGTCTGTGAGAGCCAAATATCTTGCTTGTTTGTAGGTGATACTTATTTTCCACCATAATTTGCAAATAAATTCATTAAAAATCCTACAATGTGATTTTCTGGAAAAAAAATTCTCAATTTGTCTGTCATAGTTGACGTGTACCTATGATGAAAATTACAGGTCTCTCTCATCTTTTTAAGTGGGAGAACTTGCACAATTGGTGGCTGACTAAATACTTTTTTCCCCACTGTATAACTACTGCTGTACACACCTTTCCTATTAATATACTTCCCATAGTCTATAAACAGCATTATATACATATATATGTATATATATATTTATATTCCAGAGTCTGACATTGCTTGTTCTGATATTTCTTAATTTCATTCATCATTTCATATTTTTTGGATTTATGTGTATTGTTCCTTTTGCGAGGGTGGAGACTTTGCAAACCAGAACTCCCAATTTCTAACACGAATGGACCCAGAACCTAATCACGCAGCTGACCAAATGATGCAAGATTTTAGTTTTGGGTTAACAGAGATTACACCGCTCTAAGGAGTGAATGCAATCCACACTTTGGTTTTGGTAGAAAAGTCACTGCAGAGAAACGCTTATGTTAGCATTTCAGACTAAAAACATTATTTTACTCAGCATAGAGTGTGTCTGAAGTTATACATCAAACTATTACAACGGTGTGACTGTTTTTAATAAAATGTTCAATATATTTTCTTAAACATCCTCTGTATTGTGTGCTTATTGTTTAACCATTGATACTGTATGTTCTAGGGGCCATTTTGAGACCTTAAGGAGCATCAGGTACTGCTGGAATGTCTACCAATGGCATGTGCATCTTTTTGTGAGAAATTACACTGGTCACAACAAACATTCATGAAGTATTTATAAAGTATAAATAGCCCACACTTTAGATGAGACCACACAAAAATATTTTATTTATAAGGACCTATATTAAACATCTTATGAATGATCTCATGAATCATTATGAAATACTTTAAAAGTTGTTTATAATTGTCTGAATAAATAGGTTACTAAAATTTATAAATGTGGGAGTAATGATTAATAAATTATGAATAAAATATTTACTCATCCATTTTAAATGCTTTATTATGTGGTGCTACCAATTTATTCCCCTTATCTGTAGATTATGGCATACTTTGTAACTAGGGCGCAGAGTTTTTCCTGATCAGGTTTTCTTCTTCATAATGTCTCTCTCCTCTTCCCAATAGTGGTCCAGGCCTGCTGATGATTGAGGAACCCTTCTCTCTGAGTGAGAGGCGCTGCTCCAGTGACTCCAACAAGGTGGGGATGTGTCCCCCTATGACAACAACTTTCCAGTGCTGTCAGAGCGCCTGCTCTCCCAGGGCCAACTCTCTGAAAGGCTCTTCAGAGTCCCTGAGCAGTACACACTGGTAGGCCACGTCAAAGGTTGTCCCAGCGACAGCTACCACTCACCATCCACAGGCAAAGGGGAAAGGAAAGGGAAAGGGGGATATACCTAGTCAGATGTACAACTGAATGCATTCTACTTAAATGTGTCTTCCGCATTTAACCGAACCCGTCTGAATCAGAGAGGTGCGGAGCTGCCCAATGGTCGATTTGTTGACCATTTCATACACCGTATTGTATATTGCTGCTTAATATGAAGAGTATTTATTATTTCTACATTAGACACACCTGATGAACATTTCTGGGTTGCCTGGCATTCCTCTCTAAGGAAAGGGTTTATGGATCATCATATCAGGCTGTCCTGTAGCTCAGTTGGTAGAGCATGGCGCTTGCAACGCCAGGGTTGTGGGTTCGTTTCCCACGGGGGGCCAGTATGAAAAATGTATGCACTCACTAACTGTAAGTCGCTCTGGATAAGAGCGTCTGCTAAATGACTAAAATGTAAAATATCACTGGTGCGTTCATTGTCTTTGAACATAATGTATTGTTCTTTGAAACCCTGCAACCTAGAATAAATTACATGTAGACTACAGTGGCTTGCGAAAGTATTCACCCCCCTTGGCATTTTTCCTGTTTTGTTGCATTTAAATTACAGGTTGTAATGCAACAAAATTGGAAAAACGCCAAGGGGGATGAATACTTTTGCAAGGCACTGTATGTGGAGATAAGACTTTGATTATGTGTAAATGGTTTCCCCCAGGTTCCCATAGAGACGTTTCAGAATGCAGCTCTTGTGGCTCATTGGAGGGATTCGACGGTCACTAAGTTAACAACAGCAAACAGCCTGTCAGACAAACTTACACCTCAATTGTTGTGCCTGAGTGCAGGCCACACCCCCCAGTGACTCTCTGCAGCAGCAGCCCTCTGACGAAGAGAGGGCAGAGATTGGAGGGTACAGACCTGTTATTACATTTCCAACCACCGGGCCAACCGGGGGGCTGCAACTCAGAGGACATTGCACTAAGGGGCGGAATGGGACAGCCTGCCAGTCCCTCCCTCAGAGGCAGGCCTGGCTGCAGGGTGGACGGAAGGCCTCCCCCTTCCTACCCTGGTCCTCTCAGAGGAACTCACTCCACACCTTCCCTCTGCCTCTCCAGAATCCACAACGGCCTCCCCAGCGCAGCAGCAGCCCAGGGCCCCAGACTGTGGCCCCTACGACCCCCTACTCTGGTCCTCTGGAAGGGAAAGTGTCAGGCAGCCCAGAGTGGCAGAAGGAGAGGTGGCAGATAGGGCAGCTCCTATCAGCAGACAATACAGACATTCTACCAGAGACACTGGTGTGATGTATACACACACTCACTACTTCGTCCTTTTCTAAGTTGTAAGTTAAACTTACTGAGATGTGCCAATTGTCTGTGAGTACCAGCATGTCAGTTTGTTAATGTTGTTATTTCACTCTTGACAGTTTTCATATTTCAGAAGTCTGACTCCAACCTTTTGCCACTATAACAGGGACACAAATTAGCATCACTGACATCTGATTTAAAAAATATATATATATTACTCTGAACAATGGTGTGAGAATGAATCTGAATGTATCCTAAAAGTATTAGTACTAATAGCATACATGCAATGTTTATTTTTTATATTGTAACATCACCCTGTGAGATATAATGCAGATATGTTATAACCAAAATCAAATACTACTTTCTTAGTGAAACATGACATCAAATGATGTTCGATGCTACAAGTGTCTTTGTGTTATTTGTATCTTGGTGGAGCTATTGCCAAACAAATGAACATTGATTGTTTGTGTTTTTGATATTGAACTTAACTTTGCTGTTTTGGTTACTAGCTTTTTAAAACTCATTTTAATGTTTGTGGCCTTCTGCAACTGATTCTAATAGTAATTCATTCATTCATTCACGCATCCAAATACAACAGTAACTGCCATCCACCTGTTTACATTATTTGATGGGAAAAATGAAACTGGAAGATACAGAACATTATGAATGTAATTCCACAATATGGAGTATAGAAAAAGAGAAATGCATCACTCAGTTTGTGCTTGAATGCCACTGTCATGAAATGTACCAAGTTAGTTAGTTTTATTCTGCTCCCCTATTATTTTTGTAGCTTTTTGAGGGTAAATTAAGGTACTGTACTAAGATATAAATATGGTAATGACTTTCACTGAGTTTTTCGTTGGTGTTTGAACATTTACTGCAAATATTGTTTGTTTGTCCTGACCAAACATTATGCCTTAGTAACAACTACAGTATTGTCTCTGAGATTGCTAGCCATGCTAATAAGACTTTTTCATGTTCACCTTGACTTAACATTACGATGCTAATGCTAATAATAATGCTTTTGTACCTTGTGCAACATCAGTATTGAAATGTTTTTATTCTAATCAAGCTGCTTTAATACTGTATTATTGCCAACTCGAACCCTTCTTCAGCCTGATTGTATTACTGTATGTGCATTTTCCTATGACTTCCGTGATGGAATAAATGTGATATTAGTAATCTTATCATCTTGTTATCATCCTCTGTAAAACTATACATAGACACTGAAAATGACGCAGAAGGTTATGTGGAAATAACCCCTTACTGTCTTTAAAATCCCTTTTAATTTCTACTTCACAGAGTTCTGTCAGTATGCTCCAACTACTACAACTACTACAATGATTTATTCTCACTCTTACTTCTTATGTGCCCATTCTGTGTAAAGGGAAGTCAGGAACAATGTGAGTGGTTCACACTCTAATGAACTGGAGCGGAAGGTGTCTCTTTTGGCAGCTTCGCCGCAGACTCCATAAAGATTTAATTCTGGCACATTTCAACACAGTAATGAAGTGCAGGAGCCGGATCTGTCTGGCCTCTGAGAGACCCCTCTCACAAACCAGGAAGTGGACCGGAGAGTCCCAGACATAGCCAAAGGGAGTTCACCTCTCCTCTCCCTAGACTGGACCACAGGCAAACTCGCTTCCTGATTACTTGCTAATCTTTTTATGGCTGACTTTAAGTGGGGTGAGTTATCATGCCCAATCCTATATGGTCCTTTTGCCAATAGACCTACAGTAACTTTTTTTCATTAACTCTGTTTGTTTAAGGGTGGAGTATGATTTGAGTGAGATTACGCTAAATATTTGAGCATATAGATGTTGTAAGTTTAGATACAGAGTATTTGTTGATGTTATTGTGACCTAGATTGAAATAATTTGATTGAACGGCCACAAGAGGGAACCATGACCAAGCGGAATGTCCTGTTCTCGATGATTGTGTTTTCCTGCATTGCATATCTATTGAATTTGTTATTACAATAGGGATGTTTAGGAACATTTTATGTATTTCAACTATTTCTCAATAATAACATTATTCTAACTTTACCATAAAATTACTTTAAAAATGTAAAATATATTAATATATAGTATTCATTTATTATATCTGTGTCCATAATGTCCATGAGTTTCTAGTAGATAGACCATATGGTTCAAGAGAAAATAGCCTAGTTAATGAAAAAAAAAGCATCTAATCAAAAATGGCATTATTTTCAATTAACTCAGCAAATCTTCCAACTATTGACTTTTTTTCCACAACTGCCACGTTTGACACCAAAACATTGACAACAAATACATATTGACAAAGTAAAACAAATAAAAGTTTATACAAAAACATATATAAAGGATATTTCATACTGAAATCCATCAGAGTCCAAGCCCTGTCTAAGCCGGGGGAGGGGGTTCTACTAGGCTATATGGAATTGTTTTAAGAAGGTCATACCAAGGATCATTTAGCTATTTGATTTTGAATTTTAAGACCCCTTGAAGTATCAAATATATAAATATACAAAAATTATTTGATGAAAAAAACATCGGGGTCTTACTGCTATTAGCCCTTACAAATGGTCCTCTGTAGCTCAGCTGGTAGAGCACGGTGCTTGTAACGCCAAGGTAGTGGGTTCGATCCCCGGGACCACCCATACACAAAAATGTATGCACGCATGACTGTAAGTTGCTTTGGATAAAAGCGTCTGCTAAATGGCATATTATAAATGCATTGAATAACAGATTCACTACATGGAACAACGTAGTCCCAAAAAATTATCAAAGGAAGTTTGTTCTGAAGTGTCTTTCCTATATCTGAGAGATATAAGAAGATCTGGAAACATTTTTTCTTTTACATATATTTAACCACTTATTTTTGGCACTAAACAGTCTAAGCCCTGTCTAAGCAGGGGGAGGGGGGGTTCTACTAAGCTATATGGAATTGTTTTAAGAAGGTCATACCAAGGATCATTTAGCTATTTGATTTTAAATTTTAAGACCTGTTGAAGTATTTTTAAAAGAATCCCCAAAAATGATTTGAAAAGAAATGTTGGCCTTACTGCTATTAGCCCATACAAACGCATAGAATAACAGATTCACTACATGTAACAACCGATTGTTATTGGAAGTTTGTTCTGAAGTGTCTGTCCTATATCTAAGAGATATAAGAAAGATCAGGAAACTTATTTTAGTTTTAGTTTTTTACATCGATTTTACCCTATATTTTTTTAATAAACAGTCTCCATATATACAGTACTTCCATTCATTTTTTAACTGGTACCGAGGAACCTTCAGACAAGTCTTTATTATGCTAATTCGATTTCCATGGGGGCACGGACATTGACCTTAGGGGGTTTAAACACCAAAGATATTCACTAAGTTGATGATTTATATTTAGGATAATGGTTTACAAGCTTTGTCATTCTATCTTTTATTTTAAAATCATCTTATTCAGTTATTTCATATATTTTACATGTCATAAGGCCACACAGAGGGCCAGAGACTATTACAGAAACCTGTGATAGTCTGAAGTACCCAAAGGAGCCACTAGATGTCTTGTGATAGATTACATAAAATCCTTGAAAGATACCAACATTCTGGTAGTTTACTGGTAAGCTTAGATAGTTTCTAGTAATATACCCTCCCTTTGCAACCCTAGTCTCTGCTCAGTCTCTCAATGCAGACAGTGTAGCGAGTAATACATTTTTAAAGCTTGGTATAAGTAAAAGATCACTAGGCCTTTGTTCATTATTCAACAAAATCTCCAAGTGGGTGTGTTAAAGATGTGCTGCTTAGTATAATGTCCAGTCGTCACCCTGCTCTTCATTGGAACAACTGCCAAAATAGGACATCTGGCTTCTGTTGTCATAATAAAGCAGTCTACTCCTTGTTAGGCAAAGCCAGGGGATTTACTCAACACTGAGAAATGTGGTTAAACTTTGTGGGCCATATCTGCCTCCACAGCTGTGTTAAGGCTTTGCTGTTCCACTCTGGCCACCAAAGAGCCCGTCACACTCTCTGACCAGGCCAGAGTGACAGAGCAGGATGTCTGTATGCATTTTATAGGGAATCCAACCAATCCAACCAACCACACTGCTGTTTACTTCCACTTCCACTATCCATCTGCACCAGAGAGTGAAACAGGCCTTCCTCCACCACCACCACCACCACCACCACACATGCAAATCCATCCTCTCTCTAAGAAGTAACAGACCAGGTCTGGGATAGAAAAGCATCATAGGAAAACAACACTGCTCTGAGGAGATGGGTGCAATGGACTGTAGAGCCAATTGACAAATCTAAAATATTTGATTTCACCTCTTATCAGGGTTGTACTGACAAATGCAAGCTGATCCGCTGGCTGGGATGAGAGGAGTCTGATTCGTTCACAGGGTCCATCCTACCTGTTTATTGGCAGCAGCAGCTGCAGAGAGGACAAAGGAAGGTCGTAGCTGAGACTGTGGGTGGACATCCAGGAACAACAGAACATCCATTAGAACTTATTCCAGAGCTGGAGATGATGTCTGCTCTCCACAACCAGTTCCTGTAGATCTGTCACATGTTTTGTTAACAATGTGATCAACTACTGAGCTGTTTCAAAGTATATTATTGAACATGAGTGACCACTTCCAATGGAAACATTGAACAACCCTAAGATAATGTTACATGCTGCTTTACTTTAGTACTGCTATTATTAGCTGCTATCCCTACTAGAATAACTTCTGACACTAGCTATCTCTACTAGTATTCTACTAAAACACTCATTAGCATTAAACAGTCACAAGAAACACCCATTTGAGGAAGTAAACACCCTTGGTTAGGGTTATGAACTTTATGTTAGAGAAAAACTTTGTTTCCGATTAAAGGATTAACACTGATTGCATTAAGCCTCTTAGCCTAGACCAATTCAAAATCTTCTTAGAGGACCGACATTTTTTAAAACTTGACTTCAGATTATTACCAAAGCTTTTAAAGATAAGACATGCTAAAGTAATTGGGTGCACTTTGTTGTCA